GCAGCTATTTCTGATTATTACTCACTATACCAATATCTACTACCATTGCTGTTATGTTTAAATTTATGGTACACTTAATTGAACTTGAAAGAATAATTAGTAACACAAAATAACATTTACTAAAATGCTGTTTAAGACAACACACAGCCTAATGATCAATTAATTAAGTCAGAAGAATGGAATATGTGTAAGACGGCAGTCACTACCGCACAGTAAGACACTTTTAAAAATATACTTTTCAGAATTGTATTACACTGTCATGTAATTGCTTTTCTGTTTTCTTTCCTACCACTTCTAATTACAAAAGGTCAAATCCTCTGGTGCTTAATCAGTTTCTGGTTCATTTTTACTGGGCAAATTTCTGTTACCTTCTCTGATAGGTTTTTTTCTGGCTATAGTCCTGGTCCCAGCAAAGAAGCAGATACCATTAAACATAGTTGGTACTAATTGGTACATTTCTAGCCTGTGCAAATAAGCCAAGCACTGAATAAGCTGGGGACCTGAACTGCCTTCTTATCCCTAAATATGCTCTGACTGGAAATGGTTGAGGTATGTTAGTAGAGCTGTGAGGAGAAACTTGCACAGCACTGCTCATGCATAACCTGATCTAGAGTCAGTGTGTTACTAAGCTGAGAGAGGAGGGATTTTTTCTCTTCTCCTAATTTTAAAAGTATTTATTCGTTTTTGTGATTGCTGAAAATCCACAATTCTGTGGCTATAACCTTTTCATGGCTTGGATTAATCTCTTTACTCCTAAATCTAAGTTCTCATTTTAAAATCTCTAACCTTCAAGAATGCAAACAGATACAATTTTGCCCTTCTGAGTCTGCAACTAGTCAGAGAACAAACAAGGGAACATCTAGGTGGTATGCTAACTCAGAGGGCTCATTTAATTTACTATTTAAATACTAACATTGTTAACCATTTGGGTTCTTCATACTAGAAAATCTAACAGAATTGTTTAGTATGTATGTGTGTTTGTGCTGTTTCAAAGCACTGCACTGTTAGAGTTGGGTAGATCAGTGTATAGATAGGGCGGGAGGGTGACAACCAAGGCAGAGCACTTGATGCACAAAACACAGGAAGAAAGGATTCTTCCACCAGGACCACTTATCCAAATATCCACACACAGCTAACTTCTTAAATCCAACTTTTTAGGAAGGATGTATTAATGCTGCCTCCCAAGGTCTGTGAGAGTGAGGGATCATTTTCCAGGATAGGTTGTAGATCGTAGATGATGCGCTGGAGAGGTTTTAGCTGGGGGCTGTATGTGATGGCCACTGGTGTTCTCTTATTGTCCTTGTTGGGCCTGTCCTGTAGTAGGTGATTTCTGGGTACCCGTCTTGCTCTGTCAATCTGTTTCCTCACTTCCCCAGGTGGGTATTGTAGTTTTACGAATGCTTGATAAAGATCTTGTAGGTGGTTGTCTCTGTCTGAGGGATTGGAGCAAATTCGGTTGTATCTTAGGGCTTGGCTGTAGACAATGGATCGTGTGATGTGTCTTGGATGGAAGCTGGAGGCATGTAGGTACGTATAGTGGTCAGTAGGTTTCCGGTATAGGGTGGTGTTTATGTGACCATCACTTATTTGTACTGTAGTGTCCAGGAAGTGGATCTCTTGTGTGGACTGGTCCAGGCTGAAAGCTAGTAAGTGAACACTTCAATCTCCCTGGTCATTCTATTACAGATTTAAAAGTCACTATCATTGAA